TCCACAAACACTTGTGTAAGGAATCAGTTTGCTTGCAACAGCTGAATGTGGTAGAAACAGTGACCTTTTACATAAAGATGCAGAGGCAAGTGACAACACAAGAGACTTTATTAAATTGAATAAATTAATTTGAATAAGACCAAATGTAATAAATTTTACCTTAAGTAGTATCAAAATTTTAGAATGATTAGTTAGTTTAATATGATTTCATGTTGAAACGTTGTGCAACCACACTGTCTCAGCCTCTTCTCTTTGAACTCATTACCTCGTTTTCATTACATACGACAGAAGAGAAGTTCCAGGGTTCCTGAAAGTGTGTAGATGGATAGTGGAGAAAAAAACCCCAAAATGGCTACATCAGGAGCTTGTGAAGACAACAGAGGATTCTCAGCTCTTAATTGGCAGGAGAAACTGCAGTGAGAGCTCACATCTGTTTTTTGACCTCACAGTGAGTAAGTTGTGAGACCATAGGAAGTTTAGTCCTGATGCTTACAGTCATTCTTACTAATTAGACCAAACCATGGTCATTATCTGAGAGGAGGCTGCAGGACTTTACTACTTTTGCTTTCTGTGGTGCTACTGGGTAACTACTTGATTAGTAAGGTAAAGAACTGCTACTTCTCAGCTTTCAGAAACTATTCAAAGCACTTTGAAAAAGTGACAGGCAAAAAAGGGTGTGCATGAATCTCCTATGGTTATTTACATTTGGTTATTGGTGAGAGGGAAACAAACTAACTGGTATTTCTTTTCCCCTCTAGACAGCAGAGATAAGAGAGGTTTTCCTGCCATTCATCCCACCAGTGGTGGTTCACACTGATGGAAGAATGATGCAGAAAGATCCAGATGTGGTGTTAAGTTTAACATGTGCTGATGACCTTTGTATGCCCAAGGCTCTTTTTTGATTTCTTGTTGGTGGCAGTGAAAAGAACATATATGTGTTTTCTTAAGATGGCTTGTTTGTTTTCTTACTTCCTTTTGAATTAAATTTTTAAAAAAGCATTTTTCCCTTGCATCTAAAGACAGATTTCTGCCAGGCTGTCCTGTCAGTTACCCTTCTATTTTATTGAAGAATATTGCTCTGATAGTTACACATTTGGTTTGTATTTGCTCATGCTGGTTCTTGTGTCTCTTTCCAGAGAGCCAAATGCATTATTAATGTTGAGGTTGCTTCAGGACATAAGAAAGTGAATGAACTTGCTAGTAAAACTCCTGCCAAATGAAGAATTGAAACTATGGGATCAAGTTCATTCTTAAAAGGATGAGGATGATGATTCTACAACGGTGTTGTAGTCTAACATGTTGATGATTATATAAAAAAAAAAGGAGGAAACCTCCAAAAAAGACTGGACCTTATGTCAATTTAGTGAGTTTGGGAATCATTAGACACCTTATCCCTGTATTATTCAAGCCCACAAGAGGGTGCAGCAGCTTTGGGCTAAGTTCTGGAGAAACATGTCATAGTTTGAAGCAGAGGGTGTATGATAAACTGTTCAGATATATTATGAATAGTTTCTTACACACTTATAAAGTGGGAGCACTGTGGAGCACTCTGGATAGCTTTTGGTCATCTTAAACTTTACTTAGCTCTTGTTTGCACGTGTTGTAATTAAATTTACTTTGACCTAAGGGAATAGCAAGGAGTGGGAATTCCTGAAAGCAACCATTGCAAATGCAAGGCTTTGAAATCAACTCTGGGGCAGAGATAAAATCTGAAGCCAACAAATCATACAAAAAGTGGAAGATAATGAAGCCAAATGGAAAAGAATAGAGAGTCTTGCAGCTTTGTCTTCGTGTTTATGTTCTGTCACCCATATTGTTACAGAATTCAGGAATGTACACGGAGGGTGAGAAAGCTTTCTTTTATTTGTTTGGTAGCAAACACTTCAAATCAAGTAGAAAGTCTCCAGTTAACCTCTAGTGGTGCTGAATGAAGTAGAGTAAAATAAATTACAAACAGCTATAAACACCAGTGGCTGTTCAACAGCATACATAGCTTGGGCTTGAGCTCAGTCAAATGCCCACAGGATGGGTCACACTGGAGCACTGTCCATCCATGATCAGCACTAGCTGTCAGTTCTACTGTCAGCTGATTAAAGAGGGACTGAAGATGAGTGGAGGTTTAGCTTTGTTGTGTTTTTTTTTTTTGTTTCCCTTCTACTCCTGTGGTTCATTTTTCCAATTCAGTGACTGTAGTTTTAGCAAAGGTATAGAGGAATGGTTGCTGTAGTTACTTCTGAAGTGCTTGGTTTTCCAGAACTGACTGGTCTTTTGCCTCATTCCCTGCACATCAGTACCACATGTGAGCTTACAGTAGGTAATTCATCTACAGGGCCTGTAACTAGTGAGCTAAGTCACTGTTTTGGAGGATTTACAAGATCTGTAGTTCTTCTTGATTATATATATGTAAATAAGTAAATGTTTATAGAGTTGCTTCTGACTGTAATTGCTGTGATAACAAAATATTTCTAAACTACTTATAGCTTTGCAGCTGTCACATGCTTGTGAGGTGAAAAAGACTATTTACAGATAGGGAAACAGAGAAAGTCAGAGCACAAGGTTCATGATTTCCTTGAAAGTAGCAAGGAAGCTGGACCTCCAGTTGTCCTCTCACATAAATCTTTGCCTCTCTGTTACAGGTCCTACAGCTGGGCTGGTATTGGGCATCTCTTGGAAAAATACCAGTCCCATTTTTAATGATAGTGTATGCAGGCAGAAATGTGGGAGACAATGAAAAGAGTTTTTTCAAATACATGAATGGGAATAGGCTGTATAGAAATATCATTAGCCTGTTCCAGGGTCAGGATGGTCACCTCCCAGGCAGCAGAGGAGTTTAATGTTTTCTTTGCCTCTATCTTCAACACGGGTGATGGACCAAGGGGGTCTCAGTGTCCTGAGCTGGAGGACCATGAGTGCGAGAACTTCCAGTCAACCCTGGAATGATGTGGGATCTGCTGCTCCAGCTGGATCCCTACAAATCTATGGGACCTGCTGGGATTTGTCCCAGAATCCTCAAATAGCTGCTGATGTCATTGCAAAACCTCTCTTGATGATTTTTGAGTGGTCTTGGGAATCCGGAGAGGTCTCAGTTGCCTGGAAGCTGGCGAACGTTGTCCTGATTTTCAAGAAGGGCAAGAAGCAGGACCCTGGAAACTACTACTACTGTGATTGAGGCCTTTCAGTCTCACTTCAGTACCTGGAAAAGTTATGGAGAAGGTTATTCTGGGAAGTGTTTAAAAACACCTGAAAGACAGTCATTGGTCACAGCCAGCACGGCTTCTGGAAGGGAAAGTCCTGCTTATCCAACCTGATTTCCTTTTATGACAAGGTAACCCACCTAGCTGATCCAGGGAAGCCAGCTGGATTTCAGTAAAGCTTTTGATACTGTCCTCCCAGGATCCCTCTGGACAAACTGTCCAGCCCACAGCTGGATAAACACATCATGTGATGGGGTGAGCAATTGGCTCACAGGTTGAGCACAGAGGGTGACAGTGACCGGGGTGACACATCAGACTGGTGACCTGTCACTACTGGGGTTCCACAGGGCTCCATCTTGGGCCCTGTGGTCTCCATCATTTTCACCAATGACTTGGATGCAGGACTGGAAGGGACACTGAACAAGTTTGCAGATGACACAAAAACCTGCAGAGAGACCTTGACTAATTAGAGAACTGGGCAATCACCAACCATAGGAAGCTCAACAAGGGGAAGTGCTGGATCCTGCACCTGGGATGGGGCAAGCCCAGGTGTATGGACAGACTGGGAATGAGAGGCTGAAAAGCAGCACTAGGAAAGGGACTTGAGGGTCCTGGTTGACAGCAAGTTGGCCATGAGTCAGCAGTGCCCTGGCAGCCAGGAGAGCCAACCCTGTCCTGGGGGGCATCAGGCAAAGCAGATTGTCCCACTCTGCTCTGACCTGGGGAGGCCTCACCTGCAATACTGGCGCATTTTGGGGCACAGGTAATATATAAGAAAGATATTAAGTCATTAAAGAGTGTACAAAGGAGGGAAACAAAGATGGTGAAGGGCCTTGGTGGGAAGTGAAACCGTGTGAGGGGTGGCTGAGGGCACTTGGTGTGTTCAGCTGGAGAAGATGAGGCTGAGGGGAGACCTCATTGCAGTTACAACTTCCTTGTGAGGGGAAGAGGAGGGGCAGGCACTGATCTCTGCTCTGTGGGGACCAGCAACAGGACCCAAGGGAATGGCCTGGAGTTGTGTCAGGACAGGTTTAGGTTGGATATTACAAAGAGGCTCTTCCCCCAGGGGGTAGTTGGGCACTGAACAGGCTCCCCAGGGCAGTGGTCACAGCACCAAGTGACAGAGCTCAAGAACTTGTTTGGATGATGCTCTCAGGCACAGGGTGTGAGTCTGGGGGATGGGCCTGTGCAGGGTTGGACTTGATGATCCTCATGGTTCCCTTCCAACTCAGTATATTCTGTGATATGAAAGAAGTTTTAACTTTAAAAGTAAGATCTATAATGAAGTATAATTAAAGTTGTCACAGCTTTCATGCAGAATGTGAGCACATTGCCCATGGCAATTGTCTGGTCTTGCAAATTACTGTTAAGTAAATTAACTTGATAAGAAGCACCCTCTATATATAAAGTTCTAGTGTTAGGCTTGATATAATGAGGAGTTCATGGCCTGTATAAAGTTTCATATGCTTTTCTTAGTTGAAAACGAAAAGTATTTAAATATATATGAGTATATGTTACATCTTGTAACATGGCACAGAAAAAGAACTCACCTGTAGAGGTTATGTTGATTGCCAGTGTTTTGTCTTATGCAAACCTGACCTATGAAGTTAGAGGACTTAATAGAACAGGGCATATTGCTTTACATTCTGTGATTAATTTCAAAACAAAACTGTAGAAATATCTAAAAGACTAGAGGTGACACAGCTCCATAAAATTAGGATTTAATAGAATAAAATCCTAATACAAAGTGAAACACAGCAACTGTGTGAATTATTATTCATTTATTTATTTTCTTTTTCATCACAGTTTCAGAGAACATTTGAATCTTTGAGAAATGTATCCAGCAAATCTGATCTACAGAAAACTTACCAGAAGTTTCGGAAAGATCTGGAAAATCTTGACTATTTGGCATACAGACGTCAGCAGGTAAGAACATGGAAGCTTGGTGAGAAGACAGAGAATGCTGGGCATGAATGTGGTGGGTGGTAAAACTGATGTTTGATGGAGTCACCTGTTCTGTAAGGAGGGTTCTATGCCTTGTGCAGGGTTGTCAGGTCCGGCAGCAGAAGGGGTGACAAGGCTGTTTAATGCACATGATGTTGGGCTGCCTGTGTTTGGATTTCTCAGTGGAGAGGACAGGCAAAGCAAGTAAGTGAGGTTTAACAGGCTATTAAATTTTGCATTAACATGTAACAGGTTTTTTAATTGAAGTGCATAGAAGTACAGTTTGCATTATTTTACTTGAAAAATGAGCTAAATCCATGAGTTAATGGAATTTGATATTGGCTGTACATTCAAGCCACTAATTGTTTCCTCTTTAGAAATGAATTTCTGAGGTTAGATTGCATAAAGCTTTGAAGTGTACACAGTCTTTGACTTGTGCTTGCAAATTATTAACATGTATTTAATGTTGGATATTCTGTCACTTATTCATAGCTTATGTGAAAGTGTCAGCTCTCATAATAGGTATTCACTTCTTTTTTTTGTCTTGATAAAATAAGGCTTTGCCTCTTTCAGAGTGTGAGGGAGAAATGCTGTACCATTTCTTGTTGTGGTTTGTTGTTTTCCTTCAATCTGTCGCTTGATGTCAGTGTTGTCAAAAAGTTCATTTGCTTGGGGGTGAATCACTTCCAGCTGTTTCTATCAATATAATTGATTGGATTACCTGGGTCTCAGTTAATTTGCATTGTAGACCTGAGCAGTAGTTACATGGTTATGCTGAGTAGTATTTTATCTGCTTGTTGATACCAAGATTTTCTCAGTATATCTCAGTAGAACTTGCTGCAGAATCTGCAGGGAGGGAGTTGAAAAGCTGCTGTATCTGTTTAGTATAGAAGATGCTTTAAATTTTGTCCTGCTGTGATAAGGAAGTGATCTCTCTGTAAAAATATAGAGAATTGGTTTGATTACTGTACAAAAATCACAGACCTGGTTTGAGACTGAAGCTATTGTGAGTTTGTGACATGTTTGTGGAGTATGGACATTTAATTGGTAACAATTTATATACTCTCATATCAGCTTAAGGGTATATTCATAGCCCCACTGTCAAAATGTTGAGTAACTGCCATCTGTTTGGAGACAAACAATTGTATATAATATGAATGTAAATCCATTCAAGGTAAAATAAGTGGTTTATGTACTAGAAGTAATGAATGTTGCTTTTGAATGAAATACAGTTATCTGCTTCTGTCCTTTTCCTTCAGACATAAGCCATGAGGTGGAATATAGCAATGTAATTCTTCAGTGGTAAAATTTACAGGACAGATGGGAAATTGAAACTGTCCTTTTTAAAGGATGCTTAAAATGACCCACATTGACTCTGATTTATAAATATAGACTAGGCTTCGATGAGTGGTAGCAGTGTACAAGAGACAAACTTGTTTGGGATGATGGTTTATATGAAGTTGTGTTTAACTGGCAATAATCAGAATGTGGTAGATAGTCCTGAGTTTTCAATCAGCAGATTGCCAAGAGAAGTGTCTCTTTAAAATGGTCAGTGAGGTCAAGAATGCAGTTCTGCCTTTCTTTATACTAAACCCCCAAAGTTCTTAGTAGATGTTGGTCAGACTTCCAAAACTTCAGGTTCTAATTTTGCAAGTAGCTGAGTGTGTCTGTGAGCTGGTGTGGAAGTGGTCAGGGCAGCCAAATTCTTGGGTGATTACAGAGGAGGAAGATGGGAAGTTCTTGAAGTTGGAGACTTCATGTTGGAAAGCTGAATGGTGCCGATGACATCTGGTGTTTTGGTCAAGAAGCCTGAACAATGCTCTTTGCCATTCTTCTGTTTCCCAAACATGATACGAAGTGTTAGACCACTTCTATATGTCAGGTCTTATTACTGTTACTGTCTTTGATGGACTCCCAGTGTGTTCAGATCTGCTCCCAAATACATTGCTGTGTGTCAGAGCTTTCCTTCTTACTGCTGGTTAGTGGAACACTCATCCCCATCTCTACAGCCTTGCCATACTTTGCCAAGAGACATGGCTTATTAGCCATGTTAAATGGAAATATACTTAGGTCAGGCCAGATGAAGATAAAATACAAACCAAATGTTTATACTGGACAGTGCAAGGTTGGCTGACCCCTTGCAAATGTGATAAATGCTGCAGGGTCTGCCCACAGTCAGGTTGTGGTCACTTGGTCAAACAAGTGAATTGCTTGGTCATCTAACAGCCACTGCAGACCCACCCACAGCCCTGCTAGGAACTTCATGTTCCCTTGCTTTTCCTTCTTCCATTCTGGCATTTGTGCAACCTGCCTGGTGCTCCAGAGCACTTCCAGAGGTGCTTCATTGTGTTAAAATGACCTAAAATTACTTGTTTTTCGGGGATCTCAATATTGTTGATCAGCTGCTCACTTATCAGTCTCTCTCCCCAGTCCAGATGGATGTCCCTTCATCCATGAAATTTATGGGGACCTAATCTTTCTGTGTGCTTCTAGGGTTGTGTTGCATCCACCAGAGAAATTCCTTTGGGTTGGGAATATCAGTTTATAGCCAGGCTACCATTTTGAAGCCTGCCAGGAGATTCCTGTCTCTGAGAAATGTAATTTGTCTTCCTTGTCCAGGAGATAGTCTGGCAATCACTTTGAATTAAAACAAGCTTTTAATTTCTTTGATATTGTCTCATCTCTGAGATTTGACTAAAAAAGAATAGCTCCATGCCACAGTGAGTAGTAAAACTGTTCTCTTGTTCTGAGACTTTTTGGGATGTTTCCAGTAATAGCTAAGTAAGCTTTACATAGGTTTGTGTCAACCTAAATATTAACACATCTGCAATATGAATAATTACAGTGGAAATGAGATATGACAAAATGGTAAAGCACTTGGGGATAAGAGAGGACTCTGATCCCAACACTGCTCTTTGAATACTGTAGTAGGTGCAGGCTTTCTTTTTTCTTATGTGTGTCTTTGTTCCTATTGAAGGGAAGTGCTCTGTATATTGTTCAGCTGGAACAGTACTGGTTTAAGGCTATTAATTATAATTGTCTTACTGTAGGGTCATTTCAGGAGTATTGGGCAATAGCTACAATAAAAATGGAATTATAATCAAATCCAATTATACTTAGCACCTGTCAAACTGAAAAATTATCACAGTTGCTGCTGGTTTTAGTGTTAACAGTGCCTTACGATGCTGCTGGCTGTAATCCAAAGACAGTTTTTGCCTAGAATTCTCCATCAGTGTGGTCATCTAACTGTTAACAACAGGATTGTAATATGTGTACACACACAAAAGCAGTATTCTGTTGTAAAGGTATGCTAATTTAAAGCTTCCTTATTTGATTTGATTTTGGTTTTGACTGTATTTCCTCAAGGTAATTGCGTGTTAAAGTACTGATTCTATGTGAGATCATTTTGGTTATTCCATTTTAAAATCCTTTTAGGATTGCTTTCTGATGATTGTTGTGTTTAGAAACTTTCAGCAAGTTGTGTTAGAAATTGAAGAAGTTAAGGGCTGTATCAAAGATGTTTATGGGGCACACTTATGCTTATGGGAAATAACGTTTCCAGGAGATGGAGCAGAGCCATTGCCTGTTTTACTTCACATTAGCCCATTGTTACCAGTCTTCATCACCATACAGGTCAAATTTGCATTTTAAAAGTTTTAATTTTGAATGAGGACTTGCTTCTACAGTCAAATGGTATTTCTTTTTGTTAAAATGGACTGAGTGCACTTTTATTCTCTACCTTTGATTGTTCAAAACTTTGGAGGGAGAGAATTGGAAGAGTGAATGTGTGAAGACTTGTGAGTTGATAAAGTCAGTTTAGTAGATACAGTGAAAGCCAAGCAAAGCAGAACAAGGAATTCATTCCCCATTTCCCCTGGGCAGGCAGGTGTTCAGCCATCCCCAGGACAGCAGGGCTCCATCGTGGTGACTTGGGAAGGCAAACACCACCACTCTGAATGTCCCCCCTCCCTTGTTCTTCCCCCAGCTTTATGTGCTGGGGTATCCCTTGGGTCAGTTGGGATCAGCTGTCCTGGCTGTGTCCCCTCCCAGCTCCTTGTGTCCCCTCCCAGCTCCTTGTGTCCCCTCCCAGCTCCTTGTGTCCCCTCCCAGCTCCTTGTGTCCCTTCCCAGCTCCTTGTGTCCCTTCCCAGCTCCTTGTGTCCCCTCCCAGCTCCTTGTGTCCCCTCCCAGCTCCTTGTGTCCCCTCCCAGCTCCTCGTGTCCCCCCAGCTCCTCGCTGCTGGGGTGGCTCTGTATAAGCTCTGCTCAGCAATAACAAAAACATCCCTGTGTTACCAACACCGTGCTCAGCACAAACCCAGAGCACAGCCCAGGCTGGCTGATGTGAGGAAAACTAACTCCAGCCCACCCAAAGCAGCACAGCGGGAGATTCGATGGCTCATAGTGCTCTCTTCTAGAAACTGGAGACAAGCCTTCCAAAGAGTTTATCACTGGCAGGTTTATTGTGTGGCAAACGGTCTACAAAGTATGCTGAAGTTTGGAGGGAGTTCAGGGTGAATTATTTGTTGTTAAGGAAACAAGCATAATGATAGAAAACTTAAGGAACTCAGTCGTGGGGCTTATCTGGGAAAGGTTATGGCTTGGAAATGTCAGAAATAGAGGTTCTTAACTAAAGCTTTATTCCAGTACACAGAAACAGGACAAAACCCAATGGATGGAAGTCAGAGGAGTTCAAACCACAAAGCAAATGAGCGTTTTTGACAATTAACTATGGAGATGGCTTAGTTAAGAGGGGCAATACAATAATCACTGCTTGTAGCCTTTATATCCATTATCCACAGCTTTCTAAAAGATATGGAGTAACTGAGATGCAGATCAAAGGGCAGGAATTGTGGAAATTTTTATGGCTTGTGCTATTTAATGAATTTGAATGAGAATTCACTTTTTTTTTTTTTTCTCTAGACTTAAGAATGACAGCCCATTGTGTATTTGAGGGTAAAGGCAGAATTATGTCTTTTGAATT